AGCCAGCATGGCTGGCTGGGGAATTCTGGGAGTTGAAGTCCACACATCTTAAAGTTGCCAAGATTGAGAAACACTAGTCTATATTGTTTTCCTCCGTGTGATACCGTGTGGTATCAAGCCATCATCCCTTAGGATCTTAAAAAAATGATAAAGCTATAGCTAGTATATACCTGATTTTCTTCTTCATTCAGAGGTAATGGCGGTTCTAGTCCGAATTGGGTCCCTGGTGCTGAGGGTAGAGAGCAGCTCATATTTGCAGTTTTGATTGATACTAAATGAACCATTAAAGCGAATGCATTCAGTTTTAGCTATACATATTACAGGAGCAGGCTTCAACAGCAACATTCACAGCAGTGGTGTCAAAACGATGACTTGTGTGATGATGTCACACGTGTTGGACTTTGTTTTCCTGCCGATGTCCAGGGACCCCAGAGGTTTAGCTATCTGCCATGCTATTTTTGAATACATACAAAGTTAATATTAAATAAGGAAGGGTGAAGAAGGAATCAACCATAATAGTTTGACGCCAAACTTTTCCCCCAATGTAACATGCATATGTGGTTCCTGTCTTCAGTGTCTCCCTCTGAACCCCTCCAATTTCTTTATATTCTTCTAGTGCACTACTCAGACTGGTTCAGCCCTCTTGATAAGATCTGGCTACTGTAGAGTAATAGCCTTCTATTGTAGAGATTTCTTTAGGAAGTGTGGCTTTCTTAATTCTGTTTAAAATTACATTCCCTGTGCAGGCATTTCAGACTGAATCAAAGCAGTTGAGGATTCATACTGGGGGTAGGAAATCTTTTTGGGCCAGTGGGCAACTTTGGAATTTTGAGGGCATGTTGTGGGTACTCTAATGAAATTATTGTCATGGAGCGGGGGGGATGTAGCTGTTTTGAGAGAGACAAATATTTTTTGAGAATCTAGCTGTTGTAGGAGAGAGACGTCTGCAGTTACGAAGACCCACCTTACCGAGAAGGGAGAACTGTGACATTGCTTCTGACCATCTCCTCTATTCTTTCAGA